GGGGGAAGAAAAAGGATGGAAATAATTGTTGTGTCCCTCCCTTCCTCCTGAAGAAAATAATTTAATGAATGCCTTGAAAGAGCTTAGTTTTCATATTGAACTTCGACGTTTCCAGTGGGAAATTTAATTAGCCTTCTTAAGGGAAGGTAAAGCATCAGCCACAGTTGCATTTCCTTGTTAGGTTTTTGTGGAAGCTTGCAGAGTTCTGGGAGCCTGGCTTCCTTAGGCTTGGGAGCCGGCACCTGAGATGCCAAAACTTACGTGTAGAGGACTTGCAACAAATTGTACAGTGGGTGTTTGTTTTCTTTTATGGCTGAGGAAGAGGCACAAATGAACTTCTGCCCTGGACTTTCATGCCATATATTTATTTTAATTCAGTTCAGAGTGATGGTGTGCTTAACAGATAGGAAAAGAGGTAGGGTGTTGGAACCAGGTAAGAAAATTATAAGACTAGTAAGGATACGAATATTGCTCCAGGTGACTGTTTGACATGGAGGCATTTGTAGAAAAGGAGCACGAAAATGACACGAAGGGAAATAGGAGTTTTAACCCTCATTGTAAGATAAATCGGAGCAGAATCTCAAGTGGTTGGCAGTGACAGAAAAATAAAGATAACTGAATGGAAAATGAAGAGAAAGTAATAAAGGGATTATTTAAAAACAAATCATGAACAAGTGTTTGACTTGTATGAATGTTAACTTTAATAAAACTGGCAATAAATGAGAAGTGGATATAGCAGAGGACAGAAGGTAGGTGCAATTTAAGCAGGTTCTACCCAGGAACAGACGGAAATGTTTCTAAAGCAGGCAAAGCTGATGGTTCCCTTTGGTTTAAAGTTTCTCAGTTTATGTAACCAACCACTCTTACTTGATACCGTTCAGAAGCAAGAACAACTGGCATTCTCGTGTCTTTGGAGGCACTGTGGTTCAGTAGGTCTAGGAATATTAGCTCAAAACGCAATTCAAGTGGCTGAAAAAAAAAATCCTATCTTGGTGACAGGGAACTTCTGACAAAAGCCTTTGTATGTGAAGCCTGAGAAAGAAGTACATGGTGGTGTTTTCCTCAGGAGAGTATTAAACAAAATAGTCAACTGATAATGTTGAAAGATCATGGTGGCATTTGGGTTCCGAGTTTCCTGCCATTCTGTATTTTCACCGTTTTCTTTTGACTCCCTACTCTTCTGTTTAACTGTTAACAGCAGAATGTGTATGATTACTGGCAGTCTCATGCTGGATCAAAATGAGGAAGGCTGGAATACATGTCATCTTTCTGGGCAACTTTACAGATTTGAATTTGGGTTTTACTTCGGGAAAGCTGACGGTCGTCCTTTACAAGGGTAGTCTAGCTGTGGAGGTTGTGGGATTTAGCAGCAATTGCCATAAATAGTTTTTTCAGTTCTTGGAAGTGATTTCTACAGTTCAGGTCAAATGTAGCTTTCCCTGTGTTTTCTTCAGTGTAATCTTAAGATTTTTCTCCTCGTGTCTTCCCCAGTGTTGTGTAGGGGCTACTGCAGCTTGTTCAGGTAATGCATCCAGGTGGCACTGCAGATCATCTTCAGTTTAACTTGCATTTCATTCAAAGATTCATGTGCAGGTGCATGTGCTG